GAGCAAAGACTTGGATCGGCTAGCTGTTACAAGATGCAGCCTGTGCTAGCTCTGCTGCCCACTCTGTTGCTGCTGCCCCTGGTGTACCCAGGTCAACCTCAGAACCAGAGGGTGGAGGAATCACAGCAGGTAGGGGTTTTGTGCTTTGGACTTACTTCTTTTGTCACTTTGCTGTTCTGGGAGAGAGTGAAGAGAGTGGTAGGAAGAGACAGAAGGAGGATGGGATGCCCACTTTTCTCTATTTTCTATTGATTTGAAAAAAAAAAATAGAACGAAACAGGGAAGATCAACTGAACATCATGGAACAGGGACTCTGGGTTGTTCATCTGCTCGATTATAAGGCTTTATTTCCTGCACCACCTTCTTCCTGTGTGCTAAGGATACTAGAGTTAATGATGGTAAATTCAAAATATCATAGACCTTGGTATCTTATTTATTGTCTGCAAAAGACTAAACTGTTGGGCAGGTTGACTACACTGTTGGATTAAGCTATGTGTTCGAGGACCAGAAAAGCTGTGGTTGGGACTTACTAAAATACATGAGGTAACAATTTTCAATCTGATGTTGATTGGATAGCTTCCAAAAGGAAGTGGAGAAATCAATTCAGACAACTGTGGTAACTAAATATATATAATTCTGCCAGAGGCAAGTGGTTCCTATTCTAAATACTTAACAGATATTTATTTCTATCTTGTTTGTAATCAATCAATCAATGTATCTAATTCCTAAAGTAAATCAATAAAGCCAACATCATAATTTACCCCAATATGAATCTGAAGGCACTAGGGCAAAGAAGATTTAAATGTTTTATCCAATGTCACAAAGCTAAAATTAGAACTTCACTGATCTGGCTTTAGACTCAGTAGATTTGGGCTACAATAAGTATGCAAGCACAATAATAAACAAAATGAGGAAGACTCCAAATTATGTATCTCTCAGCCCTAGCATATTTTTAAATGATTATTTTACTTTTCATAATGATTACATGGTTGATCAGCATGGAAAGGATTGGAAAATTGAGTGAACTCATTGATTCCAAATTTCCTCATTCCCTTTCTTGTTTCTGGGCGGAGGGGAGAAAAAAGGGGGAAGCTGCACATGACTTTACAAATGTCCCAGTACCCAGGGGTGAGGAATTGTCACCTCATGTCAACACAGGGTCCAGATGTGTGTATTTGCTGAGGGCTCTGCCCAAATGAATTGGATAGTTCTGAAATGCTGTTGATTTCACAGATCCAAGGATGACACACCCACCCTGGCTATGTTTTTGCAGATGGTGAGAACTATGCCAAGCTCTCTGGATGAGGGTGAAACATGCTATTGTGTGGTCCACTTGCCCAAATCCATCCTGCTACAGCAGCTAGAACAGCTACAAGGTACAACCCAGGAACTTGTTAGCAGGTTTAAGCAAGTATTGTCCATGGTGAGTACTCAAGCTGTGGGTTGGGGTTGGGAATTATTCAAGTATGTCCTATAGTGGACCCAGCATGAGGGTGAGTACTGGCAGCAGAGAAATTACTGAAAGAAGTGTAGTCTTATCTTTGAGATAAATACTTTGAATGAAGGAGAAATTAGTCACTGGTTCTTAGGATTCCCCCCACCCAATCAGTGGTAATAACAGAAGTTAGAGAAGCTTATATGGGAAGTGCCTCCTAGATGAATGGGTGAATTAATAGGTATGAGTTCATTGTAAGATAAGAAGAAATTTAGACATAAATGTAGAAAAACTAAAGACTTGGATGATCAGCTCACAAAGTCAGATAAATATGAATTTAAGAGTTAAAAATATGGGCACTGTGTGTGTGTGTGTGTGTGTGTGTGTGTGTGTGAGGAATTTGTGAATTAGTCTGGAAAGTTTCTGCATCAACAATCATATGTTGTCAGTTGTTCACTGTAAGAATCAATTTGGATTTCTTGGGGAAAATTTGATGGACATTGTAAAATGAAGCTGTGGTTTTTCTCATTTATTTGCACATCCAGCAATCTACTCAAGGGCTAGCTCTAATCAGAAAAGGGGAAATAAAATCAGAGTGGTAGTGGAGTAAGATCTCCCTAAATCACAAGGAAGGATGTTGGTATTCTCGATTGTTCAATGAAGATAAAACTAATGCCTAGCTCAAGGAATGCTAACAGGAGCAAACAAAGTGACAGATATTGGAGTGCTTGGTATGCTGAATGACTCTCTGATGATGTGATATGAGCTGCTGAGAAGAGCCAAAGGTTTTGACATTTAGGAAAAGTGCCTTTCTCACCCTAGGTTGGTGCATTTGTACCTGCCATTGAAGGCCACAACAACCAGGTCCTGAATATGAGCCACATGCTGAAGTTCAGAAATTCCAGTGTCCTCACTCTCTCATCTGAGCCCTCAACCTTGGATCAGCTGCACTTAGAGCTGGAGAGAGTACAGAAGTTGTTGACCCAGCTTAATGCCAATGGAGGAGTTAATGGGGCTAGGTATCTCCTCCACCAACTCCAAATCCAGGTGAGTAGATGGATTAAATAATCCTTCTCCCCGTCAGAGTCTTACATATGTGTCCTCACATATTTGTGAATTTTTCAAATCAGTTCTTTCTGGAGAAGGATCATCTTAGTTCAGACATATGAGAGCTGCTGGGTACAGTTCTTAAGAACACTCTGTGAGGGGGGTGGTAGCTGGTGCTGTGGCTAGTTCTGAGATCCCATTTGGGTGTCAGTTTGTGTTTTGGCTGCTCCATTTCCCATTCAGATCCCTTCCTGTGGGAAAGCAGTGCAGGATGGCCCAAGTCCTTGGGGGTCCCTACACCAACATGGGAGGCCTGGAAGAAGTTCCTGGCTTTGGATCAGCTCAGTTCTGGCCACTGCAGCCATTTGGGGAGTGAACTGGTGTATGGAAGACCTCTCTCTGTTCTTCTCTGTAAAAATAGGCAAGAGAGAGAAAGAGAGAGAGAGAGAGAATCTTTCTCTCCTTTAGAGTCTTACATCTGTTCTTCCATGTTTGTTAGTTACCCAAATCAGTTCTTCTCAGTGGAGACAGGTAAGAGCTGCTGGAGTTCAGTTTATTTTATTTTATTTTATTTTATTTTATTTTATTTTATTTTATTTTATTTTATTTTATTTTATTTTATTTTTATTGGAAAGGTGGATATACAGAGAGGAGAGACAAAGAGGAAGATCTTCCATCCTATGATTCACTCCCCAAGTGAGTGCAACGGCCTGAGCTGAGCCAATCCGAAGCCAGGAGCCTCTTCCGGGTCTCCCACATGGGTGCAGGGTCCCAAAGCTTTGGGCTGTCCTCAATTGCTTTCCCAGGCCACAGGCAGGGAGCTGGAAGGGAAGCGGGGCTGCCAGGATTAGAACCGGTGCCCATATGGGATCCCGGGTGTGCAAGGCGAGGACCTTAACCACTACGCCATGGCACCGGGCCCTGGAGTTCAGTTCTTAAGAACACTCTGTGACCTATTTCCACGGTGTCTCATCTCCTTAGGTAGCTAATATCAGTCTTATGCTCAAACTTCTGGCTGATGCGGACCAGAGCAGCTTTCGTGCTCTCCAACAGCAGGTGGATATCCTCGAGGCCCAACTACATGAGTGCAAGAGAGAAAGGGAACAAGAAGAGACTTACAGACATCATGGTTCATTTTTGCCCCCCGGTGAGTTCACAGACCAAATTTCCTAAGATCTCCTTTCCCTGGAGACTGGAGTATGAGTTCAGTACTGGATATGGTGTGCTGAGGCAGTAAAGATCTTGATGAAAATGTAGTATTTTGTTTCTTTATTTTGTGTGTGCTTTAGGGAATGTAACCCAAGATTAGTAAATTCCCATACATGCATGCTTATATACACAGACATATGGATACACTATAGTCACACACACTCTGTTTAAGCAAAGCTAGCTTGGATGTATACATGTAAATGTACTCATGTGTGTGGCTATACAATGAAAACTCACATGGTCATTATAGTTCACACTATGCTTTCTGAAAGTTGTGCGCCTTACTCCAGCTGTTACTTTGTCTGCTTTTCCTTCTAGATTCTTGCAGTTGTGGAAGCCTCCAGAAAGTCAGCAGACCCTTTGTAGTGAAGCTCAATTGGAGGGGCTTCTCATACAAGGCGGGTTCCTGGGGCCGAGACTCAGCACCAAATCAGACCTCTTCCCTTTATTGGGTGGCCCCCTTGAGTGCGGATGGCAGGTGAGGCCTGAGTAACTTCCTTTTTTACAGCCATGTTCATCCCAAATATTCCCTAATCTTACTCCAACAAGTGTCTTTGTAGCACAAGCCTAAACTCCTCCATGAACTCTAAAACTGACAGATTACCTGCCAGTGCTCTTTTTGTGGGACAGTGTGGTCCAAACTTCCTGAGCTTGCTTCAAAACACTGTCCAAAGTTTGTAATTTTACAATAATTCAAAGATGGTTCTATTTCTAGTTTTATCCTATCACAAGAAGTCTTTCTACACTTAGTTCTTCCTGTTTAGATGAGGTTAAGAGCATGTCTCCAGCTCAGCTTGAAATTGAGTAAGAAGCTCAGTACTTACATTCAGTGAAGCTGAATAAATGAGTTAACATTTCAGGCGCATTCTTAGACATCTCTAAAAGTAAGATAATTCAGTGTATGAAATGATTACATAGGCTATGCTTAAAAAGTATAGATATCATAGTAGATGCTCTTAAATACTTAAAAAATGAAGCAATGGCTAAGCAATCAATAAATAGATGAATACGTCTTCCGTGAAATCTCCAACTCACCTAGGGGAATAGGCACAATTCATTGAATATTTAAAGTCAATATTTGTGGAAATGTTTTAGAGTCAGGGGAACACAAAGTCATCAGAAGAAGGGATGAATGTGCATTGATCCATTCAGAGAAGAGTCCTAGCTGGAGCTTATCTGAGGAAGATTAATATTACCAACAAGCTTACTCTCCAGTTCTTACAGGTGCTTTGTAACCTGCAACATACACTCACATATTTGTGAGTTTTGAATTTTTTCACAGTTGTGGTTAAGTTAGGATTTATATCCCAGTGTCAAGAGGTATGAGTCCTCAATGGGCTTTGCAAAACAATATTGTGAGCATTAATCTCCTTAAATGCAGCTCCAGAACTATGTCCCATTACAGGATGCCTATGTGTCTAGAGGCAGGTGGAAAGTAATGGAGTCTAGGTTTCTAACAATGTCCAGAAAGAAGAAAAAAATATTAGCTATCATTTGTGGGTTGTTCACTCAGAGAACAGTATTACAATTTTTAAAAGAGATTCATGTACTTATTTAATTGAAAAGCAGAATTACAGAGAGCGAGAATGAGAGCACATGTGTGCATGTGGGGTGAGAGAGAGAACGAGAGTGAGAGAGAGAATCCTTCATCTGCTGGTTCATTCCCCGTTCCCCAAACCACTGCAATGGCTGGGGATGGGCAGTACACCAGCCAGGAGCTATGAGCTTCTTCTGGGTGTCCAACATGGGTGCAGGGCCTCAAGCATTTGAGCCATCTTCCATTTGGCCATCTTCATTGCTTAAAATCATCAGCAAGGAGTTGTATTGTCAGCAGGGAGTAGGGAAGTGATGCAGCTGGAGCTTGAATTGGCTACCATATGAGGGTTGGCATTGCAGGTGGTGGCTTAACTTGTTATACTACAACACTGGCTCTTTAGTGTATACTTGTTTTCTTTGCTTTATATTAGTGAATCCTTGGAATTAGCTAAGTATAATATTGTGTTGTTTCTTTCACAGATTTTACTTATGAAGTGTAGAGCCTTGACCAAATTACTTAATTTTTATGATGCTTAGGCTCCTAATCTGTGAGCATTAAAACCTAGTGGAAATATTTTATTATAACTAAATGAGGTCATGCAAATATAGTTCCTAGCTGGCATGCTATCTTGCTGAAACTTTTACTGGAAAATTTTATTTTATCATTTTTTTAGTGGTTCTCTTACAATGGTTTTAATATATTTATTTCATCATAATGTTTACTCAATGATGATGCATTACAAATACATTCTGCTTGATTTTGAAGTTCCTGATGCTAATTAACATAATAACTGGCACATTTTTTGTAGTAGCTTCTTTTTTTTAAAGATCAATTTATTTTTTTAAGGGCAGAGTTAAGAGAGGGAGAGACAAGAGAAAAAGAGACAAAAAACCTCCATCCATTGAACAACTTCCCAGATGTTCATAGCGGCTGGTGTTGAACCAAACCAAAGCCAGGTGCCAGGAAATTCCTCTGGGTTTTCTATGTGGATGCAAGAGCCCAAGCACTTGGGCTATTCTCTGCTGCTTTCTCAGACACATTAGCGAGGAGCTGGATCAGAACAGTTAGACACGATGTGGCTCCCTTGTGGGACGCTAGTATTGTAGGCAGTGGCCTAACTCTCTACACCACAGTATCAGCCCCAGTACTTCATTTCACTTCATTTACCACTGTCACCTAATGATCTCAATGTGTGTGTGTGGGGGCGGGTCTTGGCCTAGGTACTTTGACTACTATCGGTTATACAAGACCTATGATGACCTGGTGCTTTTGAAGAACTATGAAGAGCGGAAGATGGGTTATGGTGATGGCAGTGGAAATGCTGTATACAATAACTTCATGTACTTTAACTACTATGGTTCAAATGACATGGCCAAGGTGGATCTTGCCTCCAACACCATAGTACTACAGCGCCCATTGCCTGGTGCCACCTACAATGACCGTTTCTCTTATGCTGGTGTACCCTGGAAGACCTTGGATTTTGCTGTTGATGAGAAGGGGCTGTGGGTGCTCTATGCCACTGAGGGAAGCAGGGGCAACCTAGTTGTAAGTCGTCTCAATACCAGCACCTTAGAAGTGGAGAAAACTTGGCACACTAGGCAGTACAAGCCAGCCCTGTCGGGGGCCTTCATGGCCTGTGGGGTGCTTTATACCTTACGCTCACTGAGCATTCGCCAAGAGGAGATCTTCTATGCTTTCGATACTGCCACTGGGCAGGAACAGCATCTCAGCATTATACTGGACAAGATGCTGGAAACCCTGCAAGGTATCAATTACTGCCCCCTGGACCAAAAGCTTTATGTTTTCAATGATGGTTATCTGATCAATTATGACCTCACCTTCCTGAAGTGTAAGCTACCAAGATCACCAACCAAAAGAGCCTCCAGGGCTAATGCCCCACAAAAACCTGTCAATCCCCCAAAACCTTCCATGCCGTGAGACAAGGCATTGGTAGAGTGTGTCTTCTTCTTTACTGACAGCAGGGCCAATCACCAAAATGGCTTGTTCATTCTCATGATTGGGAGATATTGGGAATAGTTCCTTAATTATTCTTATAATTAGTATCGCAATCAACACCTGAAGGATTTCTCTTAAACTGATCTAGGTGAGTTTGATTGGGAAATAAAGCAAAGTGTTAGGAGAATGTTGATCCTTCTCCCTGATGTTTTGGCATCTCGTATTCTATGTTCAAAAACTATGAATTCAGATTTGAAATTCTAGCCTTCTGTGACCTAGAATGGTAAAAGTCACAGGTTGAGAACACCTGGTAACAGGGCATAGGATTCAGGGGAGCTGGATAAAGTTCTCTCTTGCCGCTATCATCCTATGGTGTCCCTGGAGAGCCAAGAAACAGGGTTTTAGTCTGAAAAGTAACTTTGACTGCTCTGGATCAATCTACTTATTTCACAGAGAGAGAGAGAGAGAGAGACAGAGAGAGAGAGAGAGAGAGACAGAGAGAGAGAGAGAAAGAGAATATGTTAATCATGAGTCCTGCTTGATTAAATAACTGCTAATGCAGCATCATGGTGATCAGATCTGACATGAGTTACTCTGGGGTATATGTGTTCTTCAATAAAGGATTCTTGATATGGCA